CAAATGAAGTGAATAATAAACACTAAACATATCTAAAATACAAAAGTAATTAAATATACAATCATCTATCACTTTCAATAAATATATTATTGATTTTATTACTATTAGAATTGTATATCAAAGTCTCATTGTTAAAATTTAGATTTTGAACCATTTTAGCTAAAAATCATCACTATGATTCTGTTACAATGTTGCTACAATTTATACTACTATTGTGAATGATTATGTACGATTCTACTGTACTTTATAGCGACTTTATGATTTTACAATTTTGCTTACACTTCAAATCAATTTATTAATGTAGAATCACAAAATCTTGTGATAATGCGATTTAAATCGATATTTTAAAAACCTTGACTACTCATTTCTGGAAATTTTAGAATAAGCATATTAGTCTCTTTCTATCATATGCCCAAGGACACACTCTTAGAAAAATCCTTAAAAGATAAATAAAGATCCTCTTTTATCATAATATTACTTGCATCCATGTACTATAAACAGGTAGTTTACCTTTTTAAGATTTGAAGGACTGTTAAAATCTCCCTATAGTTCGATTAATGTTAAAAGTTGACTACCATTAGCCTATTAAATACCAAATAATCCTCATGGACAAATCATTATAATTGATTGATAGTGTACTGGGGGTAGCTTATCCGAGGAGTTATTTCGGGGAATAACCTAGAGAGAAGTCAGAGCAATAAGTAAGAGGGAGAAAGTGTGTATTCGAATAGGAAAGCTGTTGTCGATTACAACGGAAAGTGGCTGCTATTTATAGTAGCCATAAATGCTAGACAAGGACACATATCAAACATCTGACGGCCGAGGGTCACCTCAATCGGGATGGCACCGACATTTGCATGTGCACTGCATTAAATGCGGTGGTTGGACGTGACGCCGCATTAAATGCGGTGGTTGCTTGTCTCTAAAAGGAATCTTTGCCGAGTCTGCTATATGCCGAAGGCGCAAGTGTGGAATATTGAGGGCATGGTACAAATACCGAAGGCAATATATAGTCGAAGGCTATATTCAGCCGAGGGCGTGGAATAGCCGAAGGCTAACATTTTGCCCAGAAATGCTCAGAAGCCTAGCAGGTCCATATCAAGTTTCTTTCTACGATTTGGAGCCTTCGACCATAGGGCCGAAGGCATTTACATGTGCAACGTGGGCTTCCTCATGCTTGGGCCACTTTGTTTGGTCTTTGTGTGTTCATTGAGCTTGATGAGCCCGTGTAGGAGGAGCAGGAGTCTGTGGGCCGAGGGTCCCCGAGTCATATACTCCATCAATAATATATTACAATGATTAAAATATAAATACCAAATAATAAAATCTAATAATATTTACCATTTCAAGTATATATGTTTAACTTATTTACTTTAATATATGCGGAGTATCATAGTTAATGGGGAAAAAGCTTTATGATTATTATTAATTATATCTTCATTATTATTAATTTTTAAATAGATGCATGTATGTGTCATAATAGCGGAGCCAAAAATTTAACATTGGGAGCGTCAAACGTAAAAAAAGTAATTTAGGGCATCTAAAACTCTTATTTACAACAACAACCACATCCAAGCCTTAATCCCATAAGAATTTGGGGTCGGCTAACACAAATCGATCTATGATATCGATGCCAAACAGAGAGATGTACAAGGAGGGGGGGGGGCAAGAAGTAAGATAAAACAGATAAAATAAAGATAAATATATATAAGATAACAATAAAATAAGAATATAAGAAAGATAAAAGATAGAAAAATAAAAGAGCATAAAAAAGTTAGAAGATAAAAATAACATAAGAATATAAAAGATAAAGAAGATAAACGATAAAACAAAAGAGAGAAGAAATGTAGAAAAGACATCAACATCCACACGGATGTGCGCCCCCACTTTGCTCTCTCCAAAGCCATACCATCATCCAACCCAAGAAGACGCATATCAGTTCTGATTCCTCTCATCCAAGTGTGTTTGGGTCTTCCTCTCTCTATTTTCTCCTTCTCTTTTCCTCACCCCTCAAGTCATCTAACAGGTGTATCACCCGGTCTTCTACGCACCAAGCATCATACATATCCATGATGGTACTGATATACTTACGTGATATGTCAAGGCCAAATTCAGAATGTTCTTCCCCACTTCATTTCTAGAACGTGCCAAAACCATGTTCGCCGTGGATACTCTCAAACCTATCACGACTTGGGACCACATGCCCGTTGAGGTCGTCTCCTATGACCAACTTATCTCCCCTTGGCACTCGCCGCACCACTTCTTCAAGATCCTCCCAAAATTGTTGAGTGATAGATGCATCCAATCCCACTTGTGGTGCATAAGCACATACCACAGACACGATCTCATCTCATATTATCAACTCAATGCTCATGATGCAATCGTTCTTCCTAAAGACATCAACCACACCCTCAATATAATCATCTACCACCATAATGCTTAATCCATTTCTGTTCCTCTCTCCCCGAATACCACGCCTTAAAGCCTTTTGGATTAATCTCACGTGTCTTTCTCCAACCCACATAGTTTCTTGCGTGCATATTATGCTGATATTCCTCCTCTTCACATCCTCAACTATCTCAGATGATCTTCCCATAAGAGAACCAACATTCCATGTCGCAAAACGCAATTTAGCACCCTGCCTTCTCTTCTTCACACCACATCGACCCCCACCACGCCCTTGCATATTTGACACCATCCCTGGGCATCGGAGTGGCACGTCGCTTCCGGGCGACAACCTAGCAGCCTTAGCATTCTTATCACCACACCCAGGCCTATGAACTGTAGCGCGCCCTTGCTCATTTGACACCACCCCAGGCGGAGGAATGACGCGTCGCTTATGGGTATACACGCTTGTTTAAAATACCAACAATTAATATAGTTAATACTCTATATACGAAACATAATTACATATATTTTGAAAAAAAAATTTGAACTATCATATAAGAAGCTATATGAATTTCATAGGTGAAATTTATAAGAATAATCCTACTTTTAGGGATTTTACAATAATAATCCGTACTGAGAGTGTTCATAAAAATAACCCAAAGTAGCAATAGTGTCCATTAGAATAAATTAGAATGAATTCAAACTAATGTTCGTTTAATACTCTCTATCCATACTCCTATTTTTCACTTTCTCGCTCTTCTTTTCGGGATTAATTCAAACTAAAAGTCGTTTAATCTCAACGTCATTTCCGCCGTATGTGGTTATCTTTAAGTCAAAAGATAGAAGTGTTACACGAGAGTCACGAGACGAAGAGTTGTGAAGGAGAAAGATGATGCATGAGTTAGAGTATTAAAAGGGCAATAGGTTTAATTCGCCCCACTTTATTCATTTAGACACTATTATGAATACTCTAAGTAGGGATATTATTATAGAATCCCTAAAAGTATGGATTCTATTGTAAATTTCGTCACTTTCATAATAATGGCATGTTTCTCTAATTAGCATTGATGCATTAACACTATTCTTATTTACGCTTTATTCTCAAAGTTACTTCAATTTGTGAGAAATAACTATATTTTGATACTCTAAAATAGCATTTTACTTTTTCTACAAAAGATATTAAGTTGATTACATAATAAATACTCCCTCCGTTCCGTTGGAATGTTCCCGCTTTCCTTTTTTGGATATCCCGTTGGAAAGTTCTCATTTTCCTAAATGGAAAGTTATTCTACATCAAAACATGGTCAAACAGTACAAAACCGTGTCAAACAGTGTCGAAACAGTGCCAAACAGTGTCGCAACAGTGTCAAAATAGTAAAATTTACCCTCTGGTAAGTTTATTTCCTTAATATGTGTGTAGGTCAAACCGGGAACATTCCAACGGGACGAAGGGAGTATATTCCATAATAACTGAATGTATTCTTTCTGTATGAACATAGTTTATGTATCACAAAAGTTATATAGTTAAGGTTGGTGAATAAGATGATTGTCATCAGGCTTTGACGCGACTAATGGGGTATTTGGAATTTGGATCTATTTTTCAAAATCGCTTTTTCTCCTTTAAATTGAATCAGATATTGAAGTGTTTGAGTGAAAATGCAAAAGTACTTTTGGGTGCTTCAAAAAGAGATCTAATTGAGCATCTAACTTTCTCTCAAAGTGAGACAGTGATTTAGGAGGAGAGCAAGTAGTTGAAGCTTGAGAAGAACTAGGTTGAACCTGTCTTTTCAATCATGAATAATGAAAATTTGTCACCTGATTTGTTACACAGACTATTTCAAAACGAACTTAATATCATATCAACTTCACATTAATAACTGCAATAACTTATATTCTCTCTCAAAAAAAAAACTGCAATAACTTATATCCCGTGGCTTCATGACGCGCATGTAACTAGGTTGGATATGTCTTTTCAACCATGAATAATGAAAATTCCATACAAGATTGGTTACACTCACTCTTTCAAAATGAACATAATATCACATCATAGATATCATATCAACTTCTGGTTAGTAAAAGCAATAACTGGTATCCCGTGGATTTGGTTAAAAGATCATGTTACACGTATTAAAAATAAAAAAAGTATAAAAATAAAGAAAGGCCTTATAAAGTGCATGTGTGTGGTATGATATTGTTTCATAATATATCACAAAAATTAATTAACCTATATAAGCGAAAAAAAATCAAATGTAATCTACAAGCAACATATGCAGTTTCTAACACATTTATAAATACTTTTGTACCATCTTGATCTTGGCATTTTTTCATGTATAAGTTAAGCGATATTACCCGAAATAGGACTAAAACAGTTTGAAAATTCCCAAATAGGGCTGTCATGTTTTTATTCCCAAAATATGACTAATTACTGTCATGTTTTGGCAGTACCAGACTTCAAACATGGCAGTATTTTCTAAACATGACAGTAATTAGTCCTATTTTGGGAATAAAAAACATGACATTCCTATTTTGAAATTTTCAAACTGTTTTAGTCCTATTTCGGGAACTTTCCCATAAGTTAATTGTTATTTTTAACATTAGTTATTAACTATTGATTAAGATTCACTATCTATTAAGAATTGCGATTGTCAACTAGTTTTCATTGACAGGTTATGTATTTTTATATTATCTATGTCTCTTAAAATTTTTTCAACTTTCATTTTTTTGTTGTCTCAGTACGTAACTTTGTAACTTTCTCTTTTAAGTAGAGAATTTGTGTTTCCAGTTAATTCTCTCTTCTATATAAATCTCAATCACACATTTTTTACTTTATTAATCTCCACGTCGGTCAAATTTGATAAAGTTTTAAGCGACAGAGGCAGTATTTATTCTATGTGAGAAGAATTAACAAAATCCATGGCATGAACCAGATACTCCACTATGGAGGATGGGACCGCCGGAGAAACCAGTTCTATGCAATGCATGTGGATCGAGATGGAGGTTAAAGGGAAACCTCAATGGTTATGTTCCTAAACATGCAATGAGAGATACTCCAAGTGATCATCACACACTATCTTTTGAGATGAAGTATCAACAGAGGATAATCAACTCTCAGCAAAAAGTGAAACCAGAAGGAAGTGATATGTCATCCACTTCTCCTAAGGAGGATCAATCTGGCACTTCAAGCTCTGAATCTTCAATACCATCCCCGGAAAAATGCATACAAGGAGCACAAGGTAAGTTTATATTAATAGAGAGATAGTTATGTAATTTTTAACAAGTACTCCCTCCGTCCCGTTAGAAGATTCTCACTTTCCTTTTTTGAACGTCCCATATATAGGTTCACATTTCCATTTTAGGAACAATTAACAATCTTAAGTGACAAACTAATCATTAAATATTAAAAATAATACATTTATAACATCGCAGTTATCAATACTAACTACATTATAATATATACTTATTAAAATTATTTCTCAAAATGTACTCGAACTACTTTATTTAATTATTGTCTAAATAACCGTGTCGTTTTGCTATGGGAACCTTCCAACGGAACGGATCGGAGGTAGTATATAACTGTGCTGAATAGTTATAAAATATACATTTTGCACCACATGCATATGCATAAAATTAGACCTTTTATAAAAAAATCACCAATGGAAAGACAAAAGGGAAAACATTCTTTAAAGATTAATAAGATTTTCTATAAAAGACTTATGCACATTTATTGGATTTGAGAATTATATTTTCCCAAAAACTATTCAAGAAGGTGTTCTAATTAGAGGCAAACTATATGTATCTATAAATCTATAACGAAAAAATTCCTTAACTAGGACTAAAATATAGATAAAGTGTATAAAGATGACCACCATTATTTTCTTCCTAAAATAGATTCACTTACGTCTAATTGAGGAAGTTTTATACTTTTAATAGAATCAAATGAGTCATATTTTCGGAATAAAAGACAAGTACTCAAGTACTCCTAAGGATGCACTTTGTCTATGCATGTTTTAGCTCTATTTGGACCAATTTCTTAACTATATTTGAAAAGAAAATTAAACACGCCTAGCTTAATAACAAACACTAACAAAGTAGCAACTATAAGTAGGTCATTTGCATTACCATGTGATTAACAGCAAAAGTTTAAATATATAATCTTATTCCTAGTTAAATGGCTGATATATTTACAATTATTTGAAGTTTAATTTGTTCCCCATTGTTACACTCTATACACAATCTGTCATTTAGAGGAAGTAGAAAAATTACATTATTTTACTTGTTTAGTTTTTATTAATGATTTATTACTTTACATACAAGTATATGGTAATGCTTGCAGTTATTGTAATGGGAGAAGCAAATCAAAGTAAATCAACTTGGAATGCTAACAATGTCACTAGAAAGAAAAGGTCAACTCTTGAGGAACAAAGTTATTCATCCATTGATACTTTCTATTTGCAACTTCAGCACATTCAAAATGATATTGTTGATGAAAATAACATATCTTATCAAGAAGGGGAAGACACTCTGATCTATCAAAAGTGGCAATGTATTCCTGACAATGAGATTGGTTTCGGAGCTACTACCCTTAGTCCTCTTAAATAGGCCACCAAAAGACATATATTATGCACCAATTACAAAATATCACCGGCATATAATTAAACACTCTTTGAGACACTAAATGTGCTACTTTTATGATTTTAGTTTCTATTGCATACAATAGTGAAGAATGATTTGGGACGTTAAAGTGGTTGGTCGGTCATTATTAGAACCCGTTTGGTAACATTGAAATCGGCTGATTCTGCTGAAATTTATGAAATTTTGACTTAAGTGATTGCATTGGTTGATTCTGCTGATTTATGAAAAAAAAAATATATTTCGTTAATAAAATAAAGAAAAAATTACATGATGAAATAGCTAAAATGATTCTCTACACTAGCTTCAACCAATACAGTCAAAAAAGTAACTTCAACCTTACTTTTTCTTATTATTACACAATTCAGCGCGCAAAATCAAAAGTTACGTGTTTGGTGAAAAAGTTTACTGATAAATCTGATAATCTGAAAAATAGGGTTACCAAACGGGCCTTTAACCATCTTGTGCTAAGCATCTTACACCCTCATGCAGGGGCGGATCTACAGCCAAGGGAATGGGGGCAGGTGCCCCCAATAACTTCTTATAATACTTTTGTAAAAAGTAGAATTGTGTTGTTGGTATTGGATTGATAAAGTGTAAATCAAGTAGGAATGAATTCTAACCACTCAAATATTACCAAATATGGTATGGAACAAACTTAATGGGACGAACGAAAAAGGTAAAACGGGACAAAATTAGGGGGACGGAGGGAGTAATATATTTGGTAATATTTGTGTGATTCATCATCTTAAATTATAATTTACAAACTAACATAGTTTTACTTTTATCAATATGTGTTTTTACGACTTAAACATATTTAGGTGACGGTATCATTAAATATTGTGCCCCCAATAAAACCAATTCCTGGATCCGCCACTGCCCTCATGTCGTTCTTTTTATTGTAGCTATAAATGACTACAAACGAGTATGCTATATTTCCTTAGCTTCATCCCAAAATGAATTTCTCATTTTGTGTGGATTCAAAGTTGGTTAACTTTGCCCGTAATTTTCCAAAAATTATAAAATAAATGATAAACACCTTTGAGCAAATAATTCTATTATACTAGTATACTAATTTATTATATATTTTGGAACAATGTTGTAACTGCTAATGGAAAAAGATTGATATGGATCGTGTCACTATATACACTGAGAACTTAGTTTTGGGACAACTATATAGTATTAGTTACAAAAGTGTTTTATCTCAAAATAGCTTATTTTCTAATGGGATGGCTTAATTTAATACTACGTATACATTTAGTTGGATAATTCAGATAATTTTAACAGGCTGAAACTATACTTCAAGAACGTAAAAAGCTTCTTTAGGTGATTTGAAACGTCTAGGAATCCCAAAAAATAAGGTCTCTCTTTCAAATGTGCCTCTAGCTAGCTACTTTGCACGAAATAAATTTTCCGTGTAGTAAATTCATAAGCTGGTTTAATTTATAATACGTATAGTAAATTTTAAAAATAATGACATAAATATTACTCGGACTTTGCACAAATACAAGTTTGTACATACGGTCGTACGGCCAAATGAATAATATTTTAGAATTACCATAATACTACGTATGTTTTAGTATGCCCATTTTAATATTGATTTATGCACATTTGTTGCATCTAGGGAAAAGGTCAAATACATCTTTCTACTATTTCTAATTCATCATTTACGTTCATGTATTAAAAAAAGTATCATATTGGTATGTTTACTTTAAAAAATCTGTCAATCTGGCCTTTTAATAACTTTTGATCTATAATAACATGTTTTTTATATTAACTTCTTAAGAATGTGTTAAAATTCAAACAAATTTAAATAAACAATGCGGACAATTTATATTTTGTTTTTCTGCTTTGTTGATGAAAGATGACAGTGTTGAGCAATGGTAAAGAAATAAATTTATGAATTAAACAAAAATAAAAAATATCATAATATAAAAAGGAACTAAAATCATTTTTAAAATACAAAAAGTGACTATTTTTCCTTTTTTATAAAAAAATATGACCAACTTTTTGTTTAGTTAATTAATTTTTTCATTGTAATTTATATCAAATCTCAGCCCCAATTCAACCCCCCTCCCCCGCACCTACTCAGCCCAGTTGGTATATTATACATCCGGATGTACGTAGGGCATCGTACATCCGGCCCATGAGAAGTATTATAATGGACTGAAGCACTAAAAACCTACAGTAAACGGCCCAACTAAGGTAGACAGCCCAATAACTAATATAGACCAAAATTAATTCGGTGGCATTTTTGTAATTTAAGTGAAAAATCACGGATTCCGCTAAATGAGCAATAGTGTACCTTTAATGAGCATCAAATCTATTTTCTTGAGTATTTAAGAGACTAACAATGAGTATCACGATCCATGATTCATATCTTCTAATTCTTTTTTCTTTTTCTTATTTTTTCTTTTATAAAAACTTATTATATTATGACTATAATACACTCTTATTAATTTTAATATGCGAGTCTAATGTAATACTTCCTCCGGTTCTGAAAGATCTTTAAACTTTCCATTTTTAGCAGTACCAGAAAGATCTTTACACTTCCCTATTTGCCTTATTTGGCAAATAAATCTACATAAAACAGTGTCAAACAGTGTCAAACAGTGCCAAACAATGTTTATTTCCTTAAAAACTGTGAAGTCAAAGTGTCAAGATCTTTTGGAACCGGAGGGAGTATGACACTTTTGAAATATGCATTCATATAACAATTCAAAAATGAGCATAACATCAGTATCAAATGAGCACACATAACTTACAAAACGTACATTAATATGAAAATCAAAAGATTTGTTAGTTGAACATCATGACATTTTAATTGAGCTTCAAACATCCGCTATAATGAGATGAAAATCATGGTTTCTTGTGCATGAGCATTTATGAACTTTTAATGAGCATCAGACCTATTAAAATGAACATAAGATCAGTATCAAATGAGCATATGTAACTTACAAAATGAGAATTAATTAATGAATTTGTTAGTTGTTTTGTTAGTTGAACATCACGATATTTTCATTGGGCATCAAACCTCCTCTATTGAAATCGATGAAAATCACGAGTTCTGTTAAATGAGCGTTAATGAATTTTTAATGAGCATCAGGCCTATACAAATTAGCACATGTAGCTTACAAGATGAGCATTGATATTAAACTTGTATGTTTTGTTCATTGAGCATCAAGACATTTTCAGTGAGCATCAAACCTTCGTTATTGAGTATTAGAATCTGCGATTGAGTATCATGATTTGTGGTCTCGTGTCTATAATCAACATCTATATAAATCTAATGTAATATGAGACTTTTGAAATATGCATTGATAAATATTATAAAATGAGCACAACAAAGGTATTAAATGGACAAACATGACTTACAAAATGAGTTTTCAAAAATTAAAAAGCTCATTTGTGTATGTTTATTCTTTTTAAACGCTTTACTTATTTGAGATTAAAATAAAGCTCATTTTTAATATGTTCGATATTAATATACTTCGTATAAAGAAACAAGAAATAAAAGAAACGAAAAGAAGAAAAGAAAAAAAGACAAAACAAAAGTAAGTAAATTAACTTAGAGTAAAAGTAACAAAAAGAGTAAAATAAAAAAGACAACGGGCAACATATAAAACGAACTATCACAAAGACCAAATAGAACAAAGAGAACGGCAGCTGAAGAAAAAGATGAGCATTGATAAACATTTTACTTTACAAAAGTGATTCTAAAGTGCGGCAGTACCACTGCGGCAGGAGAAGAAAGAAATTAAAAGGAACGGGCAGCATGGATGAGAGAATCACACTTAAAGTTGATACATATCAGGGCCGGTCCTGAGGTAATGAAGGCCCTGTGCAACAAAAATAATTGGGCTTTCTTTTCAAAGTTTCAACACAAGTTAAAAAAACAGAATCGAAACCGCACCGACTCAAACGGGACCCGAAAGTCGGGACTCGAACATAAATCGGTTTAATGAAGGTTTTTTGAGTTATAAAATCGGTTCAAACCGAACCGAACCGATTTTTATTAAGAGGTATTTTTAATTATTTATTTTGTAGAACAAATAGGTAATATAAAGCTTGTACGTCCTTATTTCAACAATTAGTTAATTGTTGATTCGGTCAAGTGGGTGATGTTTAGAAATCAGTGTGCATGCTTTTATTTTCACTTGAGTTCGAATCAGGGGCGGAACTACACTAGAGCTTGGGGTGCTTGTGCGATTTCTTTTTATTATATATATATATATATATATATATATATATATATATATATATATATATAGAGAGAGAGAGAGAGAGAGAGAGAGATTTTCAGGTCCAACACGTTTCTGACCGAACGCCGTCCGAACACCGCTGTTTAGGGCGGTTCCCGGTGGAATATTTTGATGACATTTTTCGAGCATGTTCCTCATCAAGTCTAGTTTATCCATACTAAATTTCAGATTAAAATTCGATCCGGAAGGCAGTAAAATAATTTTTTGAAGTTAACTGCGTTTTTCTATGTATAATTTGGCGCAGTTAACTTCAACAAATTGTTTGACTGCCTTTGCGATCGAATTTTAAGCTGAACTTTGGTATGGATAAATTAGACTTGATGAGGAACATGCTCAAAATATTTCATGAAAAAATTCCACCTGGAACCCCCCCAAACGGCGGTGTTCTGACGACATTCGAATCGGGGGCTGCTGGACAGGAGAATGACTCTATACATATATATATTATACAGGGTGGTCGACAATCAACTTTTGAATGTAAAAATAATTTAGAACCACAGTCAAATTTGATATTGATCAATGTTAATGAGGCAGGCTGAAAATAAAATGTAAGAAAATCTTAACAAAACAAAGGGAGTAATATATTTATGAGCTCGACTAGTAACGTTGAAGCTTGGAGGGTTGATTACATTGAGAGGGTTTCTTTGGAATTCGCCGGAATTAGGCCGGAATAAGTGAATAACGCTGGCGACCACTAGGTCTAGCGACTGATCGAGAGCATGGGCGGAGCTAGGGGTGGGCTAACCTAGGCCATGGCCCACCTCAAAATTTAAAAATGGCTTAATTTTTA